ATCTTTTAAATTTTAACCACTCCAACATTTTGGTTAAAATTTAACTTTTTATATCGATTTTTTTAGACGGACGGACAAATTCTTCTAGTAGATATTTTTTTTTAAATTTAATCCATTATAGAAGGTCGGATTCAGTGTAGCAGGACCTGGTTTTATAGCGCAGACGAAGATCGCATCTAACTCAAAAAAACTTATTTATTCTTAAAATACATACGTATTTATGCATAATATAATAATTGTTTTGTTGTTTTAATATTAAAAGTCGATTTTTGGCTGACACATAACTTTTTTAGGATGTTATATTATTTATGTTTTATAATATGTTATTTCGTACAAAAATGTGTGTGTATTATATAAACGTTTGTATTAAAAAGAAAGTTCGAAACTTTCAATTTTCATACAAGTTGTAAACAATCAATTTACAGTCAACTAATAACAACTTTAGCACGAATTTCAAAAGTTATTATATTACTTGCTCAAATGAATATATTCGAGTAAAACTCTCTTTATATGTACATACATGTATGTATGTATGCCCGAGTGAAAAATGTGTTAGTTTCTCGTTCGAATTTTTATTTAGCTAAAGTTTTTAATTAAATAAAGTTCTCTTTAGTTTTATACCTAGGTAGATATAACATAGTACTATATACTGTGTCATTTTTGTATTAGAAAAAGTATTAAAAAAAGAAATAATAAATAAGCATATATTTCCAACGTTTTCTGTCAACATAAACGGCACATTTTCTTTATTACCTGTATTGATAATTGCCATACCTTACTACTACTTGGACATACTTTTGTATGTTCAATTTAACTATTATCGCGTGAGTTTTCGAGTAAGAACTAGTATGTATACACAGTCAAAATATTTCCACAGAAATAAGAATACTAATCCATATCCACACTTATACATACATATATACAAATTAACCATGAGCTGTAAACCGATTCATTCAACTCGTTTACAAGTCACACGACCACATATTTTCTAGATCATTCGCTACACGTCAAGTGGCGAAGTGTTCTTGTAGGCAAGAGTCGCTCTCACGCAACACGCAACACGCGACATCGAGCATAACAGCATATCTATGCATATGTGTATGTGTGTGCGCATGTAAGCGAACAGGCCCCCAAATATCAACCAATTGCGCTGTAGCAGCCGCAGCAGTCAACAGGAAATGGAAGTACTTGAAATTGTTTTTGTTTTCTAGCCAAGTGCAAGTTGCTGCATAGGGTGTTATAAAATTGTTTACATGTTTGTTTGCTTGCTATCGTTCTGGATGTGTGTATCAAGTGAATTTAGCAATCATGGACAGTGATTAGGCGTTTTTACAAAAACGTATTGGGCGTAACTAAAGTTTTGATAAGAGAAAAGTATTTAATTTTATATGAAAAATGTATGTAGTATTTAACCCTTGTATATATATTTGTATGTTAACGTTTTAAAAATTCATCACATCTATGAAACAATTTTTTTACGTTTACACTGAATCGATGAAAATTTAAATACAAAATTGATCATTCTTACAATATTGAGTTGTAAAAAGTTAAGTTTGTTTGTTAAAATGACGCGCTTTAATTTTTCAAGCTTTCAGCTACTAATATGAGGGTCTCAGTCAATTTATAATATAAGTCAATTTGTGAGATATATGTATTTATGAAATGAAGTAGATAAAATCGGTTAAGAACTTCACCTAAATCCATAAACCAAAGACAACATTCTGGCTAAATTTCTAGGGAAAAGATTTATGAATTTGTAAGAGGTCTTTATAAAATTAAGTGGTAAGAATTGCTCTTAAATGTATGTATGTATGTAAAACATTTTAGCCCATAACTTAATACATGAAAAGTATTGAGTGTATATTTTCCCAAAAATTGATATATTGATAGAACGTATATATGTTGTGTCTCTCACTTGAAATAAATAAAAATCTCAATAATACGCAATCTTTTTGATTAAAACTATTTGATAATGTGTACATGAGATTAGCAAACTTTTCTTTGATAGGTTATTAAACGTCAACGCACGATTAAATACGGCCTTTCTCAGCGCACTATTTTCGAGTTCTTTTTTTCTTATCTAATAATTTTCTATTGAAAAGAACAGCACAGTTTTATAGGTGTATACAGAACCTATAGACATGTAAATATCGCGCTAAAATCGTATGAACAGTTGCTATGCTATTTCCTTTTCATTATGCCAGTATATAGCATTTATACCAATTATTCGTTCGATTCAACAATTTCTAAAATCTGCAAAAACGAAAACTAGACTTATAGAAGGAATACATTATTTTTTAGTTGATTAATTTACGGTTTCGGGACCTAAAAACATTATTTAATTGTTAGAATAGTGAAAACATGAGTTTTTAAAGTCAACGTCCCTCTTAGTTACCTTCCTTAAAAATACTTTCATTCGAAAAATTCGACCTCTCTTTGAAAAATTTCGATGATTTACTTATTTGCTATCAAAATATCAACAAACAATGATTTTAGACACGCAAATATCTGTTTAGTAAAGCCTTAAGACAAAAAATCGATTATATTTTCTCCTTTCCCGGAGTAAAATATCGAAATTGCGTATTTTTTGAGAGCTCTAAACTGATGCAACTTCTTAAAAAATTATTCCATACTATTTTTATACCTGTAAGGTACATGGGTACAAAATCTTTGGTTACCGACCGCATTTAAGCCTATCTTACTTCCTTTTGACCTGCTGCACTTTATATTGCATTTTATTTTAATTACTATTTTTTTGCCATACTTCTTTTACTTTCGTGTAATGTATATATGTATGTAATCAGCGGCATTTAAGGAATGCATAAATTACGTGCAATAACAACAAAATATAAATAAAATAACAAACGCCTGCAACTTACCGTCACTTTGAGCGCTTCCGCTCGCTTAAACTGCATATCGAAGAGCACCAAGAGAACTGTGAGAAATGTCAGCAAACTGTTGTTGCTGTATTTAGCAAGCATGCGCTGCAGTCTATTGTGCGTTGGTGACATTGTGCACTTTTTATTGTTTTTATTATTTTTCGTTTTTTTTTTCCTTTTTTGGAAATTAAAACAAATTATTCGTAGTCGTTGCTCGCAGGTAAAAATAGTTATTTTACAATAAGTTTACTAGATTTTTGGACAATTTGTATGCTTCGTTATTTTGTTTAAAAAAATTGTGCAAAATTTTCATGTTACTTCACTAGTTTTGTATATTTGTATGTGCGTCTACAACACTATTATGTGTTTGTTGCCACGCGCATTTACCACTTATCTTGCGATAATTTTAAAATTCAATTATTTCGTATTTTGCCTTCACGTTCACTTTTCTGCGCTTGTAAATAGCGGTATTTATTGTAATATGACGTGTTTTTTGTTGTCTCTTTTGCTCTACGCTCTCTTAGCGATCAGCTGTTAACGGCACGTTACTTTGCGGGTAGTTATTAGTCAATGAAATAAATCATACGATCGAATGAAATTTTTTTTAGTTGTCAGCGTTTATGTTTTGGGTTTTTCGTTTGAACGTCGATTTTGGCATATATTTTAATCTTAAATATTTTAACTTTAAAATTATCTTAAAATCGATATGTAAAGTTGTTGTATACTAAGTTAGAATAGTAACAGCGTTTTAGTCAGCTTATTATTTGGTGTTTTGGAGAGGTTTTGTATTTTAAGTGATTTGAATTTGTTTTACTTAGACTTGTTGTTCATTCCGACTTCTCGTTTGTTTACACTACAGATTTCGGTAGATTATTATGAATTCCTTGAAGTTACTAGCACTAAACTCGCTCAAAAACTCCTTTATATGCAGTTGCACTCGTAGTAACAACTTCGCTGTAAGAACTCCCTTGCAATCTTCTGGATCAGTCTAGTGTTTGCAGCTTATTGCTCCTTCCAAAATTTTGTAACACGAACACACAATCGACCAAATTTCAGCTCCACCAATTATGCGCGGTCACAGTAAGTCACCTGTGCCTTTGGTCGGCAAAACTGGCCGTCCTTCACGCTTCGCTTTGCTGATTTCTCCTTTCGACAACTCGTTGACTTCACGAACTCCGAAACTTGCAATTAAACCACTTCCTTAGCTGGTTGTGCCGCGTTGTTGTCTAAGCAACTGACCTACTTACTTTGTTGCTCTGTGCACTAAGTCTAGCGCGTCTCAATTGAATTTTTAATATTACTAAAAATATTGGCACGAAATTTACTAAATATAACACTCTAGCATTTGCCCGCGCTGTCTGACTATTTGCCACGGCCGGACTTGTTCGACTGTTGTGCGCTAATGGCTAGTGCTGTTGTTTTGGCTTCGGCGTAGTGCTTTGTGTCGACAGCGGCCTCTCACACACATTGACTGCTGTTGTTGTTGTTGATGACTCGTTGCCAGTATGAATTACTTCTATCGCGTTTGCTGCGATAATTTAATTGGTTATTTTTTGACTTTGGCGTTAGATTATTTTGTAGTGTGTTTTGTTTTTTTCTGCGTTTGATTGCTTTTTGTATTTCTTGTTTTTCTTTTTTGATGTAAGAGTTTTTGTAAACACTTTTTTGTCGCGATTTTTGAAGTGGGATTTGTAAGTCTTTCTGGCTGCTGGTAGTTGTTGCTATTTTTTAGGCAATTGCTGTTGTTTTTTTTCAGATTATTATTGTTGTTTTTTCAGCTGGTTTGTTTCGTTTAACCGTTACTTTTTGAGTTATTGATTTTTTTTGGAAATTTCTTGACAGAGAATTTTTTCATTTTCGCTTTGGCTCTTATTTGATGTTTTCTTGTTGCTAAGAAATATTTTTTTTTTATTTTTTATTTTATTTTATTTTATTAAAGCTTACATAATAAACAAATTATTAAATAAACTAAAGTACGCTAAGAAATATATTTGTTATTGTTCTGTTGTAATTTTTGCACTTTATTTCACTGTAATGTACACTGCTGTTAGTTTAATTAGTATTCACACCAAATGATAATATATTATTGCACAGTAGCGGGCAGAAAATCAGCAGTAGTTCAAAAACTATGGATTGTGAGAACACACCTAGTCTGATGGCATAAAAACCAGTGATTTTGTGGGAATAAAAAAAAGTACTATTTTATCAAACTTTTTTTAATTTTAACTGCATATTTAAACATTTTAAAAAATAGTAAAACATTCCAATTTTTTGTTTTTGTTGCACTCGATTTACGACGCTATCGATTAATAAAATCAAAAAAAAAAAAAAAGATTCTCCATACCTATTGTTTAAAAAGTCAAAAATTTTCAAAATGTTTGTGTTTAAAAAAGTTGAATTACATACATATGTATTATATATAAAATATGTATATAAGGCATAAAAATATGTTAATCTGTTTAATTAATTTGAAAATTATGGAATTTCTTTCTCGTCATAAAAATGTAATTATTTAATAAATTTTTTTTTTTTTAGTTTCAATAAGATACATTTCAAGATAAAATGATTTATGAAAACTTGGTTAGAGTTTTTCCTGTTATTTTGTTATTGCAAATAATTATGTATTTTTCCTTTTATTTTTTGTTTATGTATATTATTCACAATTTTTTCCAAAATTTTGATCAAGTTTACATAAATATTTTCATATTCACTACTACTTTTCTACACACAACTGTGAATTACATATTTCGGTTTCATATTTATTGTTATTGTAATATGAACACCCAACAACTGCTCAGCTGTGGCGCATAACTATGTATGTATAGTGAACACTTCTCCCACTACACGCTCTCACACACACCCACCATTCTCTCTGCACTAAAGTGGGTGTGTATGCTCTACTGTTGTGTAGTTGTTGTTGATCTGGCTATTAAACTTGCTGCGTTTGCTACTTTATTATTGTTGGCGGTTTAGTGTGTTGTTGACAAAACAAGTTTTTTAATTTATTTTTAAATTTTTATATTTTCCTATTATTACTTACACACACATACTATTTTTGTTTTATTTTTGTATTGCGAAACGCGCAGCCACTGCATTCTTATTTATAATGCATTAGTGTATATATAGTTTGTATATACTTATATGTATACATATGTATGTATATGCATGTTTGTAAATATGTGCATACACAGTAGATTTATTTCTGCTTTGTCATTTATATATTTATTGAATTACGCATGTTAGAATTGTAAAAGATCTGAAAGGAAACAGAGAAAGAGTCGCAATATTTTTTATCAAAAATGTGCGACTAATAATTTCATTGTTTACTAGGTCAAATTACAATTCAATTCTCATACATATGCGGATATATTACTTATGAATATAAATATATGTAAATACGTAATATATTTATGCATACATATGTATGTATGTATGTATATTTGATAGCAGGATTGGTACTTTGGTTGGGCGCTTGATCATAACAAAAACTCATTCAGAGATAAAAAAGTGGGTTTGCCCTAAGCATATATGTATGTATGTATATACATATATACATATGTCAAATACGAATGTTTTCCATACAAGCTCTTGATTCCGATCGTTCGGTTTGTATGACAACTATATGCTATTGTCAGCAGATCTGAACAATTACTGCGGAAATTACATTGTTGCCTTAGAMAATAATCTATACAAAATTTCGTGAATATAGCTTGTCAAATGCAAGCCCTTGATTCCGATCGTTCAGTTTAGTGGTCCGATTTCGACAGTTTTGACAAATGAGCAGCTTCTTGAAGAGGACATGACGTTTACAAAATTTCAAAACGACATCTTATTTTATCGATATCAATATATGATATGATCATTTATATATAATATATACTTTATAGGGGCTCCGACGCTTCGTTCTGGACGTTACAAACTTCGTGACAAACTTAATATATCCTGTTCAGGGTATAAAAACCACTAATGTATCAATTATTTTAAAATCTAATGCTAACTTTATACATTTCAAAAGACTGTAACTCAAAAACTATTTGAGATGTTGATTTAAAATTTAAACTAAATATTTCTTTGTAAAATAATTCATTATTTTCGAGTAATGGTTGGCAAAATTTATTGAAATTTACGATGCTAGATGTTGAGCTATTATAAGTAAGGTGAGTATACCAAGCTGTGAGTTTCAAACATATTTTATTTATGAACGCATTCTTATACTAAGGACTACTGTAAACAAGAAATTTTACAACTTTGAATTTTGCGTAGTGGATTTCCACCATATGGACTATAGTTTTTAGAAATATACTTGGTCTTGCTAACGTTTAATACTCTTAAAAGAGAGTATACAATCCTTTACGACTCAAAGATCTCTTAGTAGTTGCATAAACTTAGTTTAGGTTTCGAATAAAATCAGTAACTTTTTTGAGCGGTTACATGCGTTTCCTCGGCTAAAAACCCGCATTTTTCAATGTTTTTTCTCTTATATGAATAATTAAGTATTTAAGATCGAAGGCCACACGTGGACTGGTATATGTAGTCCTGTGGAAAGAAGAAATCCTGTGTTCGAACTTATAAATTAGCAAAACGCATATTAGCCGATACAAATTAGCACAGACGTTTAATTTCAACACCTGCCAGTTTGGTAGGATGCTTGAAGGTATGAGTTACAACATGACTACCAATAGGGCAATGGCTATCTAGTAGTAGAACACAAGCGGATACGGAAGCACTGACGCGCTCCCATTCGACCTATAGCGGTTCTAGGGTGCTTTTCCTTGCTAGCGTATTAGTATTTCAACTTCCTGTGATTCCTCTATGGACCAGTTTTATCAAAAAGACACTCAATGCTATTGATAGAGAGGTTAAGCCGTTGATAATTGAAAGTAACAATTGAACTATTTTTTAACCAGAATAAAAATCATTGATGATTAGTTAGTTATGGGTGAATCTACATCCTGATCTTAAGGTCCAGAATGACGTATCTGTTCAAAAAAAAAATATATATATATATATTTATTCGAAAATATTGGTGTACTGAACTGAACCCTTTTAAAGCAAGTGCTGCCAGTTTGTTGAAACAACTGGTATTCGCGATTCGATTCCATACAATTTAAGCCTTTTTTCCTTAATTTTGGAGATTCCTTCTGAAATTTTGCGCACAACATTTCTCTCAAATAAGCCGACCTGCTAACCCATCGGAATCAAGTCCTTGTACGGCAAAGTATATTTAAAAGATATCTCCACAAAATTCAGTATATATTAGGTATATGTATATTGTTCCGGGTAATAGTATAATGTCCGAACAGATTGTTTAGAGCATAAAAGATCTTATTTCCTTATTAATTAATCATAATTCGACTTGAAGGTAGTTAATTGAAAAAAAAAGGTTAAGAAGAATTAGAAAAACGAAAAACGTAGTTGCTAGAAGCAATAATAAGTCGCCTTGTGAAGGCTATTATGCGGGTGAATTCAACGATCTTTATTTCTTTTCCACTAAAATCTACATTCAAATAACTGTTATATTTCTCATATAGTAAATCCATTAGCAAATTAGAGCTTAGTTCTCCCATTGTCATTACACTTTATTAAAAAATTTTACTTTTCTGACTTTTCATCTATGCACTTCATTTCATTATGCACTTTAATTACTTTAGTGTTCGATTTAATATTTTAATGCGATTATAAGCACTTGCATTAATTATTGTAATTTCTTATCACCAATTTAATATGCATATTTATATACACTTTGCCATATATACATACATGTAGTATATACAATAATGCATTATCATTTTCCATACAAGCGCTATTTCGCTATTCACTTACGCAGTGTAAATTTTTCTCACTATTCCGTTTCCTTTATATTCTAAATTATTAGCATGCCTGTAAATACACATATAATGGTAATATTTTAACCGAGCGTGGTTTTGAGGTGTGTGCGTTATTGTTGGCCTTTAATGTTGAACTGACTTTGTGTGCGTGCGTCAAGAGTTCCCTACGTACTTGTATACGCAATGAGTTAGAAATTACACATATAAATTAATTTTTTGCTAGAAATCTTTGGGATTTTCAGGGTGCACAATAATCGCTTTTAACCTTCCTAACCTGTTTTTGTCATTGAGAACATTCTACTTCACTTCTATTACGCATAAATCTTAAAATCAAGCGCTTTATGGCGTGTGGCTGCTAAAATATCCGCAAAGGTGCTGGCAGGTACCAGAAGACTGATAATGTGTTATTGGTTATGAATGATCTTTGTATTTTACCTGCACTGTTTACTTGTTGTTGTTGTGGTTAAAAGAATGCGCAGATACAAAATTGTATGTTCTTTAAGTAAGTTATTTTCTTATATTTTAATAATTAAAATTTGAGCCAAAGCATTTTTCGAGAACTAGAGTTTTGTCCGGCTTTCGCAGATAATATTCATTACACTTTTTCAGTTATTTAATATGAATTATTGATTTCAAACCACAAGAGCTACCAGCCCACTTACGAAAACCACAAAAAGACATTATCAAAACAGCACTGACAATCTTTGAGAATGCACCCGAATACGCGAGAGAACAGTCAACACAAGAAGATAGGAAGTCTTCGCCGTAGCGCAAAAACTCGGTCATTGCTCTTATGTATGAATAAAGCGCTATGGCCGAAAAAAATACATACATCAATGGTGTCAAAAAGGTGTCCAGAAATCAAAATAAAAAGTATGTATTAATTATTCATGAATAAGTATTTTATCGTCTTCAAAGTAATTTCCACC